GAAAACATACTTGCATTTAAGTGTTTCTACATTGTTATATTGGTACTTTTTACTTTTTCCTCTTCTGTGATCACACGGCGCATTGACACTTCACAGACAGATGTCCGACCAGCCGAACAACAGAAGTGACCAGAGTGGGAGTGAAACAGTGAGGCCTTAGTGTCAAGGAATGGGGAGAATGGCACTTGTGTGCCCACCACTTCCTACTGCTCTCGTTCACTTATTCACTCACTCAGACTGTCAACAACAGCGACAGCGCGTCCGGCTGCAGGTCTGTGTCTTATATCACAATTTTAAAAACGTTTTGTCCATAGATGTTTGTTTTTCAGTTGAATTTATGGTGGCAATATATTTCAGATTGCAGTGTTTGACAGTAACTGCACTGTTATCCAAGTACATTTTTGAAGTACTTGCACTTTACATTATTAGTTTCCTTGCATGCTACTTTATACTTTGACAGTACATTTAATTCTCAGCTATATTAATTTTACATGTTATCATTTTACATAATGGAAACATGCGTTGTGAAATTTAAGAACAAATATATATGTGTGTGCGTGTGTTGCTGCCATTTTTATCCAAATAAAGGATCTAAATATTTCATTCACAGACTGAGACAAAAGTCTCAGTCTGTGAATGAACAGTATTTAGATAAACAGTATTTATCTTCGAACTTGATTTTCCTTTTTTCACCCCTGGCATTGTTATTGTTGTTGTTCTTTGTTTTCATCGCCTTCTCGTCTAATTTATCTAAAACAGGATGAGTGTTTATGACCGTCTGGCACCTCTGATGCCTCAAGTGTCTTCATCTTCCAGACAAACAGGGGAACATCCATCAGCTTGTTTGTCACCGCCTCCCTCGCTCTCTTCTCCTGTTATCAAAAAGAAAGTGATTCAGATTCCGTCATTTGATGAGAAGGGACTCATCTCTGAAAAACACGACACAAAACAGAGAAGCACTGACAGGTAAGATAAGTTGCAGCTCATATTCCAACTCGCTTTACTGTTATGTAACAGTGTAAATATTTTACTGAATTCATTTTGTAGTTCACACAACTCCTCCCTCTTTTGGCTCCAGATCATTTGTTCCAATTTGTTCCTCTGAGACATCCAGTCAGCCTTCTTGGAGTAAATCATGTCAGAGAATCCACGGAGAAAGAGCTTCAACGCTTCCAAGAGCCAAACCCAAAACATGCAGCTCTCCAACTTTTTCTAAAAAGCCCAGTTTCTCCATTTGTCCTGCTCCGAATCCAAATTCCTCTCCCACTGCCACCTCTCTGAAACCAAAGCCAAGTGATTCGCTCCATCTCCCCGCCTCACAGTGGAGTGATCTTTCTCCATTACTGCACCAACCTCAGCTGCAGCCAAGTGTATCTCCGACTCTGACCGTCCCAACACCCCGACTGAGTCCATCTCCAACGTCCCTGTGCCAAGGGGAGAATGGGAAGCAGCCCTCTCCTGTTGCAACAGAGAGACGTGCTAGATCTATCAACATCTCGAATACAGAAGTTGAGCCAAAAGAAAGTTTTTCAAATGAGGCAAAGCATAAAGTTCTCGACCAAGAGGTTTTACTGGATTTCACGAGAAGATTCCCCATGATGAGCAGAGGGTCTCAACATCTCACTCACTCTGAGTCTCAGAAACAAGCAGCCATGTCTCTGGATTCCTGCTCACTGCAAGGCAAAAACATTTCAAAAGATAAACCAAAGCCTCCACCAAGGAATTCAGACTTTTCTTCAATCCCAAAACCAAAGTCAAACATCAGACAGCAGCAGGAGTTTCTGCCAAGTAGAGCGACAGGTACACAGACGTTTCTTTCATCAGAGTCTGAGGGGATTAAGTCTAATGTTGTTCACAGAGAGTCTCAGACAGTGTTTGATGGACTGGCAACTCAAAGCAAGTGTACAGACTACCCTCAGAATAGATATCACACTCAAACTGCAGCTTTGGCTTCAAATAACAAATCATATGAACAAATGTACTCTGAGAGAAATACAGCTCTACCGCTGACTCATAAAATTTTACTTCGCACAGCGCCTCCTGAGAGTCAGTCAACTGTTTCACCCAATATCCAGACAAGGAGGAGACCATTTGATTTGAGCGATAAAACAAAAGTGGATACAACATTTCTATCAGGTTTAAATCTCAGGAGACCCGGGGATGAAAAATATACAAGGAGAGTAACAGGAAGCTCCTCGCCCACACAAACGGGAGGATCGCATCATGTCACATCCCAACAGAGACACAGAATCTGGTCGAAGGCCCCAAGTCAGGCTGTCACGATGGATGCACATGGCACAGTAAACCGGTCTGACTGTTTCTCAAAGGATTACAGCTGCCTATCAAGAGACATCGACCAGAGAACGAAGGCTTCTCAGCATGTACACACTCGACTCAAGACATGTCTGGTGGCGCCTCAGACTCAGGAGGCCTCCCGACCTTGGCCTGCCCCTGCTGAGAGCACCACATCAAAAAAACATCTGTCAGATCACGAGGAAGCCACGGGGCGAAATAAAAACCACAAAGAGGTGAACCTCAGTGACATGTGGCTGAATCAAACAGATATTTTGGCCCCACCTGATCACCATAGCGTGCTCTCAAAGCTACTAGAACACCCCTCAGAGAAATGTGTTGTGAGCTGGCCCCCCTCTGCGGCTCGCTGCCCATTCAACTCAAACAGCTCTGGCAGCGGTTCAAAGGGGGTCTCTGACCTGCCGTTGCAGCCGCAGAGCAGAGTTTACCAGAGACCAGAGGAGATGACACAAGCAGCAGTAATCAACCAAGTGGATTACTCTCATGCAAACAGAGCTTTTATCATGGAGGAAGCAGAGGACCCTTATTACGTCACTATGTATTACCCAGGCTCAGTGTATGTGGGTGAGTACATACACATCCAAACCACTTTTACTCAGCAAAGTCAACAAACCCATCAGAGTATACACATGACAGGGACTCTTTCGTGTCTTGTGCTCTTAATCTGTGTCGAGTAGGAGTTCAATTATTTTCTAAGAGGGGGGCAGGAATTCAGATGAGGGGGTGGCCAAAGAGGAGAGCAGAGGGATTTAAGACGCCACTGCTTATCAGCAGAGTAACAGACGTGCTGTAGCGAGACGTGACGGCATCTGTTAGAAGACTCTATCAGAGTGAATATAGCACAAGGACATGCCAAAACAGCTCGCCATGCAAACAAGCAAACACAACAAAAACATGCAGAGAGGGGAACAGACTGGCGACAGGAGAGCAACTCAGAGATAAAGTGTGAGTACTGCCACAATGTGAGGAATCATTTTACCACAGCTACACTGCAAATACTGTGTAATTTCTCTATTTTAAATCCTGCTAAAATATCACAGGACAGAGATTAAAAACACACACAAGTATTAATAAGGTGTCTGCATCTCTCTAATGAGAATCATAGACCTATGATGAGGCCATTCACGGTATAATGACTCAGTGGTTTCCAGATTTAATGCATTTTTTAATATTACACCAGTGTCAGGCCTTTTTTGGTTTGTTAGTTGTTGGTATTTCCTCTCACCTTTAAATACTTTCATTTCAGATTATCCAAAAAGGTTAAAGTCTCAAATATACAAAGGTAACGATCAGAGAAAGGTCCGGAACAAAAAAGTGAACTTGTGCAGCAGAGCTTTGTTTTACTACTTTTCTTTCCCACAAATAATCTCAAGACTCTTCAAAGGTCCAGAGGAGGAATCACTGATATTTCCTCATAATATTTTACTAGTTCAAACTAATTCCACCTCAAACAGTAAAATGTAGCGTAAGCGATGGTGCATTATTAAGTAAAATATAAGAAGGAATAAGGTGAGCTTTACTTATCGTGAAGGAAATCTGCTGTTAATATTTATACTGGCTGTCCCTTTACACACACACATAGTACACATACTATTATTTGACAACACATTGCACACTGCCCTTCTGTAGGAGTGGGAGGCCTCACTATTACATGCACAGTGAAAATGCATTAGGAGCAAGACAAATACTTTTCTTCACTTTTAATACTCTAAGTACATTTAGCTGATAATATTTTTGAATGTAGGACCTTAACTTGTATTGGAGCTGGGATGAAACCACCGAACTTCTGGTAAGTGGACGACCTGTGCTAACTCCTGAGCCACTGCTGCCCACAAGCTGAGACCGACAGTTAGTTACACACTTCCTGTAGGAGATCGTACTCGCTCAACAAAGTTGCATTGTTCAAGAACAGGTGTTCAGGTTGGGTAGTGGGAATGAAAGCAGCACCCTTCTCTTTATTAAATATCAGTGAACCATCAAATTAATTTCAGTTTCGTGAAATAGGAAATATATAAATGAAATATTATGTGTGGGCTATGGCAGAAACCAGTAACTGCTTATTTAAAAATCCAAATAAAATAAAATACAAAACACACACATTCTGAATTCAGAATCCGAAATTTTAGGGTAAAAAAAGTTGCATCGTGTTTTAAAGGTACAGTGTGTAGAATTTAGTGACATCTAGTGGTGAAATTGCATGTTGCAGCTGAATACCCCTCAACTCCCCCTCCCCCCCCAATCATGAGAGAGAATCTGTGGAAGCCTTCAGTTGTCATAAAAACTCAAAAGATGTTTAGTTTGACCAATTTGGGCTACTGTAAAAAACATTGGAGAGGACCCACTCCTGATGTAAATATAAAGTATTTAAACATAAAGGGCTCATTCTAGAGTAGAGAAAACAACAATTTATACAATTTTGATGAAACACACTAGTTCTTTGCGCCGTGTCTTCCACCTGGGAGCTTTTCCTCCCCGCTGTTGCTGATGCTTGCTCGGTGTGGAACAAGTCGGATTTTGTCCTTTTTTTAAGATCTTGGACTTTTGTGCAGCACGTCTTCCACTCTTACATGAAAACTTTGAATAATGGCTCCAGGTCAGACTGGTCGTTTTTTACCTAATGTAAAATATCCCCTGTAAATAATTCTGGGAAAACTTCCCTTTTTGGAACCGTTATACTGCGCATGCGCGCTGCATCTCCCCACTCCCTCTCCTCTTGTCGCCGTGGTAACGGAGGAGGGGGCTGAAGGGAGGAGAAGGACCGGAGCAGACTCATGACCGCAGCTCCTCCGGTTTTCTCCGGTTACACGTCGTTCGTCGCGGGGGTCGCAGCAGCATCAGCTCGGTCAGTGAAGGAGAAGAAGAAGCTCGTCCTCACCTCCAGCACATTTCCACCGTCGGTTGAACGGGGGTCGGTGAGTGTGACGTCTTTACGTGCCGAGCCCACCGCCGCAGCTAGCAGCTAACGTGCGGCTGCTGCAGCTAGCGGCTGTTACACAGCATGGCTGCACAGAGACAATGGGGGCGACAGGCTGTGATGGAGACAACCAGTGTTTTCTATCAGAATACACACAAGCTGCTTTCTGACACTGAGCGGCGTCTTTTCTCAGGGGAACAGGTTCCGTGTCTGCAGAGCATCAGCAGCCGGTGTCTGTCTCAGTCCTGTGTGTCTCTGCAGCGGGACACGAACGATGCTCTCATTCTGTTCATGTGTGAATGTACATGTGAAGCAGGGAGGGTTTAGAAAGTGTGAGATAAGGTGAGGTCAGACTGGTGCACGGATGTAAAGGACAGGAATATAAATGTGTTAAGTATGGCTGCAGCTTATGTTTATTCTCATGGTCAATAAACCTGGCAATCATTTACTCCTAAATGAGAAGAACATTTCCATCACAATATTCCTGAGCACCTCAAATGTCTTGTTTTGTCCAGTCAACAGTCCAGACCCTAAAATATACAGTTGAATGTATGTGGATACAGAAGAAACTCACGTTGGAGTCATCAAGTTATTGACGTTTTTACCTCAAATATGAAGTAAACAAAGATTCAAGAAGACACATAGCATAGCAGAGCCCATTCCTCCACCAAGGCCCATAGATATCACATTCACAGTATCTGTCCTCTAAATAGGCCCGATTGTCTCCTTGAAGCTCCATGAATTATTCGCCGGGAGGTTGTTAAAAAAAAAACGCATCTTACAATGTTAAATCAAGTGATTAAAGAAAATCCTAATTCTGCCTCTTGGCTCATGTCCCATCCCTCCACCAAGTTTCATGGAAATCCACCCCGTGGTTTCAGTGTTGTCCTGCTGACAAACAAATGGACAGGGGCAAAGACATAACCTCATTGGCAGAGGTTATTATCAAACAGTTGCTCATGGACTAACCCAAACTAAATGTTGCAGCTCTAGTGTCAAGACTGAAATTTAAAGCCTTGGTTCTCATCAGGAATAAATAGAACATTATCTATAGTAACATTGTTACTGACTATAAATGACAAATAGGCTCAATTCAATACTCTAACTTGAATGAATGTTGAATAATAGCTGCTCTTTGAAACAGATTTCTTTTACACACATTTTTTTTGTGGTCGTTTTGCATTTGTGGTGGTATTGTGTCTCCTGGTGGACGTATCATGTCTGTTTGTGGTTGTACCATGTCCATTTGTGGGTATTTTGTTTCTCCTTGTTGTTGTTTTCAGTCTCTTTGTGGTCGTATCATATCTGTTTGTGGTTGTATCCTGTCTCTTTGAGGTCGTATTATGTCTGTTTGTGGTTGTATCCTGTCTCTTTGAGGTTGCTTTGAGTCTCTGTGATTGTATCCTGTCTCTTTGTGGTCGTATTATGT